TAGCAGGAGTTGGAAATTTTGAGTCCTGGGCAGCTTACACCACCTGGGAAAAATCTAGCAGAATAAGTGGGCCTTGACAAACAGCTGATCCCAGACCCCAAACCCACACACTGCATCAAGTCAGTCCAAACTCACAGTGACTGTGTAGGGCAGAGGAGAGCTACTCCACGAGGTTTCTGAAGCTGCAAATTTCTATGAAAGCAGACTCCCACATCTTTCTTCCACAGACCTGGCTGGTGGGTTGGAACCACTGACCTTTCAGTTAGCAGCCCCGGACTTAATCCATGGTGCCACCAGGGCTCTTTGGTCAGACCAAACCCTGAAAAATAAGTATTTAAAAACATCTTCAGGTACAGATATAACAAAAAGATTAAGAGGGAGAGAGTGAGAAGAGAAAGCCATCACTGCATCCAGGGGAAAATTCTGGTTGGGAAGGTCAACTAACTAACTCTTATGGAGGCCGACTGAGTCTATTCTGACTCAGGGCGACTGACCCGTGTGCAAAGGAGAACTCCTCCACAGGGTTTTCAAGTCTGTGACTTGTCTTCCAAGGCAAATCTGGGTGGGTTCGAACTGTAGACCTTTTTTGATTTAGTGGAGCGGGTAACCAGTTGTGCCTCCCCGAGACTATTCTTCAACATGAACAAATGAGAGCATTATCAGCTGGTTGTGCTCTGGTCATAAGAAAACAGTGCATACACGCCTTGTGCATCTTTTTATTGTTTATTGTATAATATAAAACTACAAAAGTAAGACTGCTCATTTCCATGTACATTTAATCTGTCCAGTTGTTTAGATTACAGCCCAAACCTACATGTGAATACAGCCATCTGGGTTTCAATGTAACGTCTGTAATATTGCATAGAAAAGGCACAGCTCCCAGGTCTGTGGGGGAAAAGGTTACACCTCCTTTTGGACAAAAAGCCCTCCTTAAAAACCATGCACCAAACATATCACTATTTACAGCTTTTCCAAAATCATGGCTGTTTGCTTGTACAGACTGCACTTCTCTTCTGAGTTTTTTTTAATCCCCAAAAGAAGTCCAAAAATTCTACTGGCTTTGTTTGCAATAGCATTTGATCTTGGCTAATCTTCGAGAACCACTTAGACTCATTCTGAGAAGCACTGTCAGCAACAGTACCCAAGCAGACGCACACACCTCTCTGCTATGGAGGAGCACCGACAGCCAGGATGGGGTAGATACGCTCTTCTCACAATTCTCAGAAAATGTATACAGGTCCAATTTGCAACAGCAAGGATTTGAAATTAAGACAATTAATATATAGTAGAATTACAATCGCTGCACAGTCTTTTTTTTTTTTTACATCTGTCATTTAAGAAGGCTGCCCTGTGGTATTCATAATTCATTATTTACCACAAAGGTGGCTAATAAATTTAAGCTTTAAAAACGATCCGTAAGTTGATACTTTGGCTCTTTGGAGTTTATTTATTTAAGAAAATTTCCTTGACTGACCTTAGGGCAGCTGGGGCGCTCCAGGGGCTATGGCAATAAAAGCTCATTTGATAAAGACACTCAAGGTGTAGCGGAGACTCTGGCTATTTCGAGGGTGTCAGTGTGGGTGCCCCTTCTGTCAGAAAGAGAAAGTGCTACTAAAAAAATGTTAAAAATATTAACCTCTGATGCTCGATTTTCTAAAAATTTGGAGGTATTGAAACATTCTTCATCCATACCTTTTGCATATTTCAAATAGACCCATAGTAGAGAAGAGAGTAAAAATGAATGTGGACTGTGCATACGATGAGAAGACCCAGGGGTTGGGTGCAGACCCCCCCTTTTAATACAGATTTACATTCCTACAGGAGAATACATTCCTACCATACATTCTGCACATGTTACGATCCAGATGTTAGACCTCCACAGTACAATAAATATATTTACACAGAAAATTTAAAAAAAAAAGGAATAAATAACTTATGGGGGAAAAATCACTTCAAATTCAAAGCTCTTATTATTCTGCTCTCATCTTGTCACTTCATTGCACATCACTGTCAGTAATTGTCCCCTCCCAGCCCCAGCCCGCTTGTCTTTCTTATAAAGGCACCTCAGACAGCCTGCTCGGCTGAGGGCCACGTGACACCCTTTTATACAGGGGAAGGCGCTGCTGCCAAGTGGGATCTGGAAGCACACCCCACAGTCCAATGAGGACCTGGACACCCCACTAGGACGCAGACTCTCCCCTGTTGGAACATCACTCTATAAAAACAAGACTCAAAGACAGTTGGAACACTTGATAGTTCTGCTCTTTTTGAAAATGGGTCCAATCCTTTCCTAGGTCTTCCTCGTGAGACTTTGAATCGCAAGAATTTATAGCACGGGTGTCCAGAGTTTGAAAAAAAGCATTTGCCTGCTGTTGTTGGGGTTTTCGTTTTGATTTTGCAGCCTAGCTTTACAAATTACAAGAAAGCCAGAGAACTACTTTTAGGCAACACTTCTCTGTGCTTATCTGAACTGTTGCCCAGCATATGGGATTTGTTTAGACACACGATTTGCTAATCCAACCAAAGTACAGTTGTGCAAAGTTACTGTAAATCCTTTTTTAACAATTGTAACTCAACTGTTTTACCATGTCATTGTTCGGAATAACCAATACTATTGTATATGTGTGCAGCATGGGGCGCGTCTCCCCAAGCTACAGAACCATGGAATCGGGGGCAGACTTGTTCTCTACAAGAAAGGAAAGCTTTTCAAGCTGACAAGCACAGTGACACCGGATGCATCCATAGCACCCTGCCCCCGACTATATGGTCCCTAGTCCTGTCAGAGGAAGACAACACATCTGTAGCAACAGACGTGCCTGCCGTGTGGAGGTTTCTTGTAGGAGAACAAGGGCAATTTGATCAGTTTCTCGCTTCTCTGCTGAGCTGATAATTAGGCTTTAAGACATATTCAAGTGGGGAAAAAAGTAAATTAGAATGTAGAAAGATTTAATTATATCATATACAAATCTTTTGCTTAGACAAGCAGTTCCTTCATCACAAATATATTTGCTTTTGCCATGTGCATTATAAAAATAAAACCATCTATGGCTTCTGTAAAGTGCCATTTTTATAAAGTTGTCTTTTTAAATTGGCCAGAAAGGCCCAATTTTATCCATGGCAAGAAGTGAGCAGAATTGGTGACTGAATATTGACAAATGACCAACAACAAAAACAACAATAACAAAATCCCATAATTTAAAAAAAAAAGAAAAAATTTAAATAAATATAAAAGGTATTCCTAAAGAAGCCACCTGCATTTCAACAATATAGGTTGTCACCTACACTCAACAGCTAAAGTACCATTGGAAGAAAGAAAAAACTACAACTAAAAGGCCATAAACAATTTCGGCAACAAGCATGATACATTGCAAACGGTTTAAAATTAAATGTACAACACTAGGAATCAAAAGCTACGTCTCAAGTGTCCTGTGGGGGGGGGGGGGGGGGGGGGGTGAGGGGGTGAGGCAGGGAAGGAGGAACATGCATAGAAAGTCTGGTCTGTGTATTTGGGTAAAACAGCTTTGTAAAGTGTGAAGTAGTTAAAGCAGTTGATTCAAGAAAGCAACCAGATTGGAAGCCGTGACGTGACTGTGACAAACTCCATCCAGGTTCAGGAGACACAGAGGTCACAATGAGAGTGTGTCCTGGGCCGGCGGCGGTGGCGGTGGTGAGCTGGGCTTGCTGTGGTAATGGTGGAGGATGCCACTGCAGCACTTAGCAACGAGGAGGGAAGGGAAGCTCTGGGGAAGGGGAGTTGGGAAAGACAATTCGGCAACATGATGGATGCCTTCTGGGGAGATTTATTTTATTTGATTTTATTAAGAGCCTTAAGCACTGCAAAAGGGTTTTACTTCCGTGTAAAGGTTGGTCGCTTTTTAATAAAATTTTGTTCAGATGTAAAATTTCAGATCATAACAAAAATTATGCCACAAAAGAAGACTTGGGTTTGATTTAGGAAAAAATACACACACACACAAAAATGGCATACAAACACACACCTGAGTCCTTGGGTAGGCATCCTCTCAAAAGAGGAAGCTAAGGAGAACCATCACCTCCACTCCTAGCTCCATAGCCATCTCCCGCCAACTGCTTAATGCCAAGTTTGATGAGCAGTGGGGCTCGGGCTTTGGAAATCACAGTCCTGGAGGGTGTTTGGGCCAGGGGGTCGAGGCTTGTGAAACTTGTCTGTGTCACTGCCTGGCCCTCTCTGAGAGCGGACGGGGTGTGTGTGTGTGTGTGTGTGTGTGTGTTTGCTTTGGGGGATATCAACTGCAAATTGATTTGATCCAATTTTCTCTTTGCACCATACACATAGAAAACATTACAACTCTATAAAAGTACAAGTGCAACTTGTACATCTGAAGTTTGCAGGAACTATGTGAGCAAATCCTATCAAAATAGCTATTTCATATGTATAAACAGCATTTTTTTTTGTTTGTTTGTTTTTTTAAAAAAACAATATCATAAACTGCAGAATCTGTACAAAAATATAAAATAAATTTGGGCAGCAGTTTCTAAACAGCCATGTAAATGCAACACTTACGAGGAGTAGTTAATGCCTCTAAAAAGGCTGAATTGCCAAGTCAACCTATACAGGGCGAAAATGCCAGAAAAGGTACTGAGATTATCTAAATAATATATATTCTTTTTTTTTTTCTTTTTTTTCTTTGTTTTAACCTCTTGCAATAAAACTTATAGAAAAAATAGACAAATATGCACATGCAACGTACAGCTTTCCCAACCTAACCCTTGTGCTTCACTCGGATTGTTGGTGTCATTCAACAGCACAACACTGTTCTTTCCTAGACCAGGGTAGCAGGTCTCTGAGGAACCACTCAAAAAAAGCATATTACAAGTGGTCATACTTAGACGAAGGCACTCCAACTCTGCTCAAAGCAAAAACTAGTGTGATCCTTTTGTAAAATCTTCTTTTTCTCTGGAAAAAAAAAAAAAGGCAAGCCAGGGTGCATGCACAGTGCGGAGAGTGGTGGTGGGGGCCGTGGGAGCACTTGCGGGGTCTGGGTGGGCACGCAGGTCTTAGGACCCCACCAGCACCTCCATGATGTGGTCCAGTTCTGTGAGGTCCATTTTGAAAGGCTGACTTGGGGCAACGGGCTGACTGCTGTAAGGGGCAAGAGTCTTCAGGAGGTCGTCGGCCGACACCGGGGCCATTTTGGAGGCTGTCCCCGATGCGGACGTGCAAGGGTCAAAATCATACATGGACGTGTCTATGTCAGCAAACAGGATATCATCCAGGGTCAAGTCCGTCAGAAAGCCCGTGGAGGTGGTGATTTCGAAGTTGCCGGGGAGAGACTCTATAAGTTTCGAGTCGTCCGGCCGGCCCTCTGAGAGTCCCTCGGATTTCGGGGTGCTGGGCTCACTTGGGGTCCCTTTCGAGCTGTCAGTGGCGGCTGCTGGGGCCTCTGTGGAGGTAGATGTGGGGCAGAGCTCCTCGATCTCGTCCAAGGCTGAGGAGAAGCTGTCCTTTTCCAGAGCCAGAGCTGGAGGGGACAGTTTGGTGGGCGCCACAGGCGCAGCCTGGGCAGTGCAAAAAGTGTCATCGTCATCCTCAAGCAGAGAGGCCGGGGTGAGGCAGGCCTCCAGGGTAGTAGTGCTTCCGAGGTCACAGGGGTGGGCGGGCAGGGAGGCGGGGTGGCTGAAGGTGGGTGGGGCCTCTCGGTAGCTGTCACCCAGCGAGTCGCTGGGCTGAGAAGAGGGGGCAAACACCGGCCTCAGGCTGCCTTCCTGTTTGAGTTCCTCCTGGATCCGCCTCAACATGTTGTTGATTAAAACAGTCTTCTGCAAACTAGGCTCTGTCAGGGGCCTGTGGTTGTAGAGTTTCATAAGGGAAATGTTGAAGATAGTCTGGCGCTGTAAGGTGTAAGACACCTTAGATGGACCATCAGAGGGAGACACGATTTTGCCTTCCAGCCCATCTTCATGCTCATCAAACTTCCGTTTTCCTCCTTTACCCAACATATATCTGCAAAGGAGAGAGGAAGAAACGGAATCAATCACACAAAAACGAATTTCCACAATGAAGAAAAGAGCTTATTTGGAGGTCAACAGGACTTGGACTTCAGTTCCTTGTCCCCCGTGCCATTTAGAAGAACAGACGAATTCACTGAGAGAAAACCTTCTTCTGAATGAGAGAGAATTGGGACATCCACCTTCCTGGGCCCACAGAGCAATTTTTATCACTAGGTAGTCTGGTAAATGTTTCTTGAGAAATGTGTCCAACATAGACAAGTTAAGAGTTGCCATGGAAACAGTGATTTTTACTTTCTCAGCTCATGTGCTAGCGTTCGCATGCCTAACATTAACATGCAGGTTCAATTTCCCTCCCCCAAATAAATTTATTTTTAAAGCCCGAGAGCACACTTACATCGTGTGACCTACACAGATATACATGTCATAAACTACAGCTTAGACACACCTTGAAAAATTAAAAGAACCCTGTTGGAGAAGGGGAAAATGTACAATGTTGGTGGAACTGTGTGCGCTTTCAAAATGCTCTTTCCTTCCTCATTATGCACAAAGCCTTTCTGCCTGTTTGGTGACATGTGGTGAAGCACTTGGCCTGTGTTAAATGACCGCAGCGACTGAGCTGCCACCATGTTTCATTTTAGAACCAAGCAGAGGAATGTGTATTTTGTTATTTTCCAGCCCAAGTTTTTCCTTGGCCCAATTTCACTACATACAGTTATGTATGACTGCAACTGGATTAATTTAAAAGTAATTTGCTCTGATTACAAGCACTGCTGTTGGGGTACCTGAAATATTTCATAACAAAATACACACCGTTCTTCCAGAGATTACAGATATATTTCAAAGAAACGGCAGCCCTCCTGTCTTAGATCTTGTGAATGTGGTAATGGATTGAATTTTAAAACTGCCATGAAGAACCTCTGCCTTGTCATCTCTCCTGACACTGAGGCTGCCTCCTCTCTAACTCTGGCTTTAGTGAAGACACCCATCATTGGGTTGTCACCTTCTGGACAGTGGGGCCTTCTTCCTCTCCATCGCCTCCTTTTCAGAATTCCTATGTTCTACACAGAACAATCTCAATCAAGCTATTAGCCTTTGCCACAAAGACCTTACTTTTTAACCATTTAATCAAGACAGCTGATTTTTAAAAAAGACAGCTGATCTTATGATGTCCAAGCCAGGTTTTATGGTTCTAATTAAGCCAAATAAACATACTAGTGATTCTGAATACAGCACAAGATCAAGCAACATTTCATTCTGTTAGACATGAGGCCACCACGCGCCAACTTGACATCAACTTAACAACTGCTTGCTCCCTCACCCTCTACAATACTCACACTCGGTGTGTTAATCTTCTCTCAGTGTGTGACTCACTCTGATTTCTTCATATATATGCAATTGCTTTGCAATTATCCAATTTTCCTTCTAAACTCTCCTTGCCGCTTAGTGAATTGCTACAGCTGATTTTGATCTTACCTCATTCTTTCTTACCTCACTCCAAATCTATGCCGTCTTAGACAGTATCGAGCATTCCATAGATGCATAAAGCCTGGCTTTCAACGGGCTAAATATCTCCTCCCAAAAGAGTAAGGCTAAACATAATATAAGAGCCACAGAACTTCCAACACTTTGCTCAAGAAAACCAAGTTGCCCCTGAAGGCACACATGCGAGTGATCACAGAGCTTGCCTGTTTTCAGGAGAGAAACATGAAGATTGACGCAATCTAGCAAAGTCAGAATTAGCTTGAGCATTTATTTGCTAATGTGTATGAAGAATATGGAGCTTGGGTGTGGTGTTGAAGGATAGTTCTCTGGACGAAAGGTCGGTTTGAATAGCAAAGTCGGCGGTTCGAATTCACCAGTGGCTCCTTGGAAACCCTATACAGGCACTTACCACCACACCACCATGAAGAATGTAGAGTTACTGGTATGAAACATTCGCCTTCATTTTGTAAACATTAAGAAAATGGCTGTCAATCACCAGGTACAAAGATCAGGCAAGTAATTAACTATTCTGATGCCAGGAAGGTATAATAAACAAACTCATTTATCTACCATCTCACATAACAGAAATGCTTCCCTCTGTTTAATCCTAAAAGTCTCTTTTGTATATATTCTTGGCAGAGAACCTTTCCTCTCTAAAGTATCGCTGCCCAACTGGAGGTGAGAATGAAATCAGAGCTGAGGTGATTTCACTTCACATTACAAAACATCTTCTACTTTATGTATTAGGAAGTGTTACTGGACAACTGTGTCTGGAAACAGAAAACTGTATTCACAATTATACTATCTGTATTTACTTAAATTTCAGTATTTAAATACTTACAGAAAAATTCCGCATTCACAAAAGTGCTTACTAAAGTGCATTTAATTCTTAAATAAAGCTGTTGCAAAATAATGTGATCATGCCCAACACGTTTCACTTAAAAGTGTGTGTGTACACATACACAAATACATACACACATACTCTTAAACAGCCTTTCTCTGTGGTCCATAGATGGCGCCGGTCTGTGAACTGTTGATGACTGTGATGATATAAGGTTAAGCAGATATTAGAGAATTTTAAACTTTGATAGCAAACTGAGACTAATTGTATGCTTATCAAATCTAATTTTTAAAAATAAGCTTTGTATTTTCAACATATTTGTATTTTTATTTCATTTATAAGCAATTATTTTACTTTTATAAAAGTAACAGTTGATGAAGGACTGAAACAAAACAAAACAAGAAATTGGGCCATTACGGTTAGTTTGAGAAACATTATCCTGAAATATAAACATAAAAACAAATCAGATCACCACCACTAAACTTCTGCTGGTTTTCTGGAGGAGAGGTGACAGGTATGACCTTTTTTGTCAGTCACTATGACACAGAACTGTCTTTTAAAGATCTGTTGCTGAAATTGACAAGACAACTTTGAACGGAATCTACAGAGCTCAGATAGAGATGTAAAAAGCTCACTGGACATGCAATGTTATAGGTATTCAGCAAAATTCCAGTAGTTGAAAATGTGGAGATACTTTCAGAGAGATTCCAATACAAGAATGACCAGCTGTTCATAGCTGTGTGGTAATCCTAATGATTTACAAAGAGATTTGTAATGCTGCCCGGAAGAGCAGGGAGGAGGTCCCTTGTAAGTAGGATCTGTGTGCAGGAATAGATACACAAACTGAATCTTGTGCCTTTCAAATGTGTAAATAAGGACCCATGACATAGTATATATCTCAAAGCAGGTTGGCCTTCATTTCTCTATATCATGTTATGAAGCAAAACTGGCTCCACAGACCCACACAACATCCTGATATAAAATCTAACTCTACTGAAAAATACATAGAAAGTAATAAAAATCTAACAGCATACAATCTACCCCAGTTTTACTTAAAAATGAAGTCAAGTTTTCTGAATGTTTGTTGAACACACTATGTTTAGAAAGTACAGTCTTCTAGCTGAAAAGGCAGTCAAAGGAAGGTTCAAACCGCGAGGTTTGAGAGCGGCTGAGTCAGAGTGGAGGGACGTGTGCGTCTCGTTCAGGGCTTTGTATTAAAGGCACAATTTAAAGAAGAAAAGAAAATACATGCATCTGTTTTAGTGCAAGACAGTGAGTAAGAAGTCAAACAATGCCAGCCTCTTCTGGGATCTCTGGGGCTGTAAGTTCAGGCTGGCCACAGCTAGGCCTGCTGCTCCTCAAAATCCTGTTTCCTCAGCCATGCTAAGAAACAACAATAGTTCTTTAAGAGGGATAGCAGGAGGGCACGTGACCTTTTAAAAGGCCTCACTAGGATGCAGCTGGAAGAGGAAGCAGTAGCGGAGCTCACCAACACTGAGGAAAAAGGAAGGGGTTCCTTCTGCTGCTAGGAGACTGAGGGAAAGGCCCAGGTGACAGTGGTGGGGGGGTGGGGGGAATGAGCTGGAACTCACAGAAACGAAAGGTTTGTGATTCAGTGAGCTCCCAAATCACTCCAAGGCTTTGATACCCTGCTCTGTCTCTGCCTTACAATTCAGGAAGACCCAAGCCCCTAAATAGACGTCATCTTTACCATTTTTCAGACAATACCCCAAAGAGACCCTGAGCTTTAGGGCAGGTGAGAGACCTTCCACATGGAGGAATCAAGAGGGGGCTCCTGCAAACTACACATCACCTCAGACCACCTGAGCTCAGCTCCCTCCTCTTATACAGATGTAACTAGTCACAGCCACTTTTCTACAGACTCATTGGTTCTTAATATCTGGTTTGAGACAAACCACCATCCTACCCCAATAAATTTGTTAGAAACAAACTCCTCAACCAGCTACCACCAAGTCGATTTCAACTCATAGCAAACCCTCTAGGGCAGAGTAGAACTGTCCCACAGAGCTTCCTAGGTTGTAAATCTTTATAGGAGCAGGCAGTCACTGCTTTCTCCTGTGGAGTGGCTGGTAGGTTTGAACTGTCGACCTTGTGGTTTGCAGTCCAACACTTAACCAACTATGCCACCAGGGCTCCTACCTCAGAAGATACAATCTGTTGGGGAGATGATGCTAAAATCCAACAAAAATAACATGTCTCTCGACTTGCCACACTGCACTGTTGTTGTTGTTGTTAGGTGCCGTCATAGTGACCCTGTGTACAATAGAAACACTGCCCAGTCCTGTATCATCCTCACAACTGCTGCTACGCTTGAGCCCATTGTTACTGCCACTGTGCCAATCCATCTTGTTGGGGGTCTTCCTCTTATTCACTGACCAAGCGTGACTTTACCAAGCATGATGTCCTTCTCCAGGGACTGGTCCCTCCTGTCGTATGTCTGAAGTATGAGAGATGAAGTCTGGCCATCCTGGCTTCTAAGGAGCATTCTGGCTATACTTCTTCCAACATACATTTATTTGTTCTTTTGGTAGTCCATGGTACTTTTAATATTTTCCTCTAATACCATACTCAATCCTTCTGTGGATTTCTTGACTCACTGTCAAACTTTCACATGCAGATGAGGTGACCGAAAATACCATGGCTTGGGT